GTAATAGCACCAACTGCTCCCCCTCACGGTTCAGCACGTACAAGGCGGCGTCGCAGTTGCTACGAGCGAACCCGTGACCCAAGAGGAACTCGTCGATGTGCTTGTACCATCCCCGCAGGCTCTGTTTGAGCCCGTACAAGGTACGTTTCAGCTTCCATACACGCCCGGTGCCGTCGTCAAAGCCCGGGGGTTGCCGCATATACACTGCCTCAAGAAGAATGACGTAGAGAAACGCCGTGATCCACCTCAAGGTTCAAGCCGGCAGCGATGGCGAGGAGAAGACGAAGCGTGGCGCCCTTAGCAACAGGTGCGAAGGTGTCACGATAATGCTCCCCCTCCCACTGGGTGACGCCTTGAGCTACAAGACGACCCTTGTAGCGATCAAGCATGCCGGTAGGACCGTACTAGCGCCTCAGCATCCACTTGGATCCCACGAGGTATGCGCCATTCGGCTGCACAACAAGCTCGTAGACGTCATTTCTCAGAAGTGACGCGAGCTCCTCATCCATGGCGTGCTTCCATCGTGCCGCATCAGGCGCCTTCATGGCTTCATCATAGGTCTTAGGGTCCTCGTTAGTGATGGCAAAACAGTAGCCCACGGTTTCCTCTCCTTCGTCTTTCCCATCCGCTACCATCACATAGTCGGTGAAGCGTGGGTGAGGATGCGGCATGTGGCGTTCACGGGTAAGGGCCAAAGGAGGAGGTTGGGCAGAAGTTGAGGGTGGAGCAGCATTGGGCACCAAAGGTTGCACCGCTCCCACGTTGGAGCCTCTCACTACTTCTCCATTCTCAGCCTCATCCGGTGCTCCCCCTAACAGGGGCGGGGGAGCGACGGATCTCCTCATGGTCGGGTGGCAAGACCAATGTCACCGCCCGTTCCATCACTGGGAACCTGTCTTCCATGAAGGCGATGTCACGTGACACGACGACCCGCTTCTCAGCCATATCCCACACGCGCCACTCGTTTGCAGCCACTCCGAGGAAGATGGCCTTCCGCGCTTTCGGCTGCAATTTGTTACGCATCGGTGCCGGTACGTGATAGTAGCACACGCACCCAAAGGTGCGTAGAAGGGAGAGGGACGGTTTTTCTCTGGTCCGAGCCTCGAATGGGGTGGTGTTGGGCGGCGCCTTGGTAGTGATTCGATTGTGGATCCACGTCGCCAATGCGCTCGCCTCGCCCCACCATTCCCCTCCGGCCTTGGCATGGTGAAGAAGAGCACGTGTGGATTCCATGATCGTGCCTCTCTGCAGCGCCATTCTGTTGGGGGGAGTAAGGTGTGGAGACCTCATGATGAATGCCCTCCTTAGCCATCCATTCCTTGAGATCGTCATTCACGAACTCTCCCCCACCATCACTACGAATCTGTTGCAACGGCTTCCCAAATTTGGTACGCATGCGCAATGCCCATTGCTTGATAATTGTCTTCACATCTGCCTTGGACTTGAGAGGCCATGTCCAATTCATACGGGTGGCATCATCAAGCATGACCAGTAGGTAGCGAGCTCCCCCTTTTGAGGTGATCGGCATCGGCCCGCACACGTCCATGTGCACGAGCGCGAGTGGTTCGGTGGCGAGAGGTGACGATCGGGCAGCAAATGGCTTACGCCAGTTTGCCTTCAACGCACACCACACACACCTCATCCGCACTATCCCCCGCAGCCACATCGAAGTCATTTGCCATGCCGTTACTTGCCATTACCTTGATCTTCTCAAGGTTGGCATGGCCCAAGCGGTTGTGCCACACCCTGAGAGGCATTTTGGCAAGTTGAGCGATGTAGACCGATGCCAAGTGAGAGTAAGTACGCAGCCGGTACAGCTCCCCATCAAGAAACCCCTTAGCGAAGGGCACTCCATTGTGTGACAACGTCATGGCAGCGGCGTCGATGTTGAAGGTAACCACTTTCTTCGCCAATTGGGATACAGAAATGAGGTTCACCGCCAGTCCCGGGACGTGCAACACGTTGGTGATGTTGATCGGACCCAAATCGACGAGCATATGAGCCGTTCCAACACCCGCAACCGGAAAAAACTCATTGTTGCCGAACGTGACCCGCTTCACCGCACTTGCTTCGCCGATGCCATCAAGGAAGCTTGCGGAGTGTGTCATGTGTTGAGTGGCTCCGGTATCAAGGAACCAATCAGCTCCACCTTCCTTCGTCCCATGGCTGGCCATTAGGACTAGCAACTTGCCGACCTCGCTCCCTTCGCCGGTAGTAGCATGAGCGTTGCCCTTGTCGTTGCCCGTCTTGGAGGGTGTCCAATCCTTCGGGCGCGTACGTCAATGATGCCAAAAGTGGCTGCGCTTGCCGCAATAGTGGCATTCACCGTTGCCACGTTTCCCTTTGCCTTTGTCGTCGGAGTCGCGACCTCCGGAGGAGCGCTTCGCTGATCCCTTGTTCCACCCCGATGTTTTCTTGTCGTGGTGTGAACCTCCAAACAACGCGGCGCCCGTGTCGGTCGCGCTGAATTGTGCAAGCCGTGTCTCCTCGTTAAGGAGGCGAGTGACAACTCCCTCCTTGGTCCACGAGTCTTGAGTCCCGTCGAGTGTCGTGATGAGCGTCGCGTACTCCTTTGGCAGCCCTCCCAAGAGCATCATGATCCAGTCCTTGTCATCGATGGCTGCCTTGAGTTCCACCATCGTTTCGCCGAGTTCTTGCACGCGGTTGGTGTAGTCGCGCATGGACTCACCCTCCTTCCATCGTGCCGTGAAGAATGCGTAGTGAGCCTGCAGCTTGCCGTGTAGAGATTTGCTCATGTGAAATGCCTCCAAGCGTCGCCATGCAGCACACGCCGACCCATCTACGTCGATGAAGGGGCTCACCAAGCCGATGAGGTTGATGCCGAGCTCGGCTGTCAAGGTTGCAAAGGCCTTGCGATCACGCTCCTTCCATGCAGCCACATCTGCATCCGCACCACTTGTGGGCCTCTTCTCCGTCCCGTCGAAAAGTGCCCAAAGTTTGCACTCCATCATGAGCACCTTGAACTTGAACTTCCACACGGAGAAATTGTTAACTTGAACAATTTTGCGCTCCATCAAACTTGAACTCCCCGCCGACAAATCCAGCATGGTCATTGTGGTGGGAAGAGCATACGACACACCTTCAACTTCCTCGACAGCGCAACTAGAGCTACCGCCTTCATACGTCATCCCTACGGGTGGGGCCATGGGAGCGTGATGTGCTTAACCGGGCTCTGATAGCATGAAAGAATCAGCCTCTGTCAGAGTGATGCTGTCAACTCAAGACAGTACAATAAGAGCTGAAACTAGATCAATAGATCGGGCTTGGAGTGACGATTCCAGAGCAACTTGAATCTCAGAGTTTGAGCTAGAATTCAGAGAGAAATGCTCATAATAGCAAAGCTGGGTACAAGGATGTCGAATTGGTCTCTTCTCTGGATTTCTCTCTGGTCTTTAATCACAAACATAGAGCAGCAAATGTTATCCCGAATCGCCCGCGATTCGGGACGAAATTTAGACTTCACACATTTTCCCGGTCGGTAGTCCGTCTCTTGAAAACCGGCTGAAATTCCCGAGTCAATTGAAGTCACCAGTAGAAATTCGGGGTTAGACGAATTTCCATGTGTTGGCGAATGTTACAAACTTTCGCCAACAATCCAACATCAGTTCGGTTGGATCCCATGCTGCCAAGTGTCAAGCTTGGGTTGATCTCAACCCAACCCAAGCCAACTCTGGACCAGAACTTCAGGGACCTGTTCTTCGGCATATTTCTTGGGCCAACTTCGATTTCCCTCACATTATGGTGGCAGACTAATTCAGGTTGGCTCACTGCTGTAATTTAGGCTAGAGTACAGCAGAATTCTGTCGCATACTGTTGTGGCAGTTAGAACCCCTCGGGGTTACGTCCAGCCCTTGACGCAAGCTGGCACATGTTCGTGCCAAATCATTGCTTCAGCAACAGATTCGGCAGGAGGGGTGGGCTGGACTCAAAGTGTCCCGCATTCCCCCCACCAAAAGAATTTCCTTGCAAACTCACGGATTGGTTGGACTTCAGATTGGATTTTTAGGTAGTCGTCGGATTCGGGTTCCATACCAAAGTCGCACTCGTCTGTGTCCATTTTCGGCCAAAATCCACCAAAATCTACACTTTCAATCAACCCATTTCTAAGCCGAATTTTTTCCCATAACCAATGGGGTCGGTTCGGAGACAACCAAATCTGTCAAAAATTAGGTTCCCTCAATCAGCCCTTGACTCGGGAAAGTAACAAATATTCAAAACATTACCCAAAACATTATGCCCTTGACTCCGCCCACCCCTTGCTGAAATGAATCCAGGCCACCCCTCCAGTCCAGTCTGCTGCTGCTGACGCAATTTGGCACGAACATGTGCCAGCTTGCATCAAGGGCTGGACGTAACCCCGAGGGGTTCTAACTGCCACAACAGCACGCGACAGAATTCTGCTGTACTCTAGCCTAAATTACAAAAGTGAGCCAACCTGAATAAGGCTCCAGCCATAGTGTGAGGGAAATCGAAGTTGGCCCATATTTCTTCCCCCTCGAACTTCTCGTTCCCCACAATTCCTCCGTAGCTGTGCTAGCACTAGCGTAGGTGCAGCCCCACCGTCAGCCATGAGGCATTCCTTCCTCCAACAGGACTATCCTTGGTTTCGCCCCTTGGACTGTACTAGACGCTTGACCCTTGACCCTCAAATTCCTTATGCTCTATCCCCCCTCCTTTGGACATAACCGGCTGATCCACAACGACCTCTCTGCAGAAAGGGGCAGAAGGCTTAGCGAGGTGCTTCAAATAAAACGCGGATGACCTCCCCCATTGCCTTCCCCATTCAGTACTTGTGGGCATGCTTCTACCAGAATCAATGAAAACCATCCATCTGCCACCTAGGCAACTCGTTGAATGAAACAGCCCAGATGCATAAACTACTACAATATGTACATGCCAGAGTTAAACACTACCAATGTTTATCATCAATTGCTATGCCCCCTTTCCCTCCCACCCCCTCCCCCAAAACTATAAAAGATCTACACAAACCGGAAGCAAAACAACAGCCTCCCCCTTCCTGTCAGTGTGCTGCCTTTTTCCCTTTCAATATTAATTGCAGAGCAGCGGAAGCAAATCGGAGCCTGGACAGCAGAGGGAAGGCAGTAGCAGCGGACAGCAAAGAGGTACATCCTCCCATGAGAGTTCAACTCGTGAAACGCAGCAGTGGTGTACTCATGGATTGGTCTTGGGGGGGGACTAGATAGTTTCTGCTTCGACGCAATCCGTGGTGTTGGTCATAGAGTAGGTGTTGCCGTTGCTGAAGTGGAGGTCATGAGCGCAGGGGAGGAAGGCATGCGTCCATGCGTACAAAACGTTCACCGTCTCACCCGGAAACATCTGCACATCGCCAGACGCCCCCCGGTTCATCCACATCTCGCAATACTCTGGTGAGGATTGCCCAAAGATTGGGCCCAATTGGTACTGCGAGGGGTTGGGCGTGGGGTTATCTAGGGAGCCGTCCCATATATTGTTGAAGTTGAAGCACTTCCACACGCGCAGCGGGCTGGTCACGTTGTAAGCACACCCGTTGTAAAATGTCATGTTGAAAATGTCGTTCTGCAAGTCGAACGGCCCCAAGTTCTGAGAACGGATCGTCACAGTCGTGCGTGTGCATGCTGGGGGAGGAGGGGGCGGGGAGGGGGGAAGGGGGGAAGGGGTATAGGGATGGGGAAGGGGGAAGGGCAGACACGGATCGTCACCGTCGAGCTCCCGCACGTCAGACCGAATGGAGAAGGAAGGGGGAGAGGGGAGAGCGGGGGATGGAATGCAAGGCTGGACTAGACAGAGGGGGAAAGGCGGATAGAGGAGGAAAGGCGTAGGGGACAGCACACTCTACGAGAAAAGGGACGAGTGAAGAGAAAGGGAGATAGAGAGCACTTACTGGTGGCAAGTGCCTTGCGGCGAGGGATGTGGGCGAGGTAGTGTGGCAGGCGGGTATGGCGAGAGAAGGCCTCGGTGGCTAGAATGCGAGCCCCCTTTAGCTGCCCTGCAACGCCCTTGATTCCCTGGGGAGTCTCCCTTGCACCTACGGCAATCGCCAGCAGCACCAACACCAGCGCCAGCAGCAGCCCGCGATTGCCACACGCCATTAGGGATTGTATGAGAGGATGGGAAAAATATAGATAGGGCGGTGGATTGAGGTGAATTGCTGTTTGGCTGTTTGAATCAGAGACAGAATAGAGCAGTGGGTTGAAGCTGATGAATCCATAGCTATTCTTATCGGCGCTTTTATAGAAGGTCCGCGTGGGAATGTGCCCTCGTGGCGCGAGGGAACGAGGAGTCGAGTCAGGAACTGGGTGAGGGGGACGGAAGTGCTGCAGACCAGAGCAGGCTGGTCAAGCAGAGCAAAGCAGTGCTTGCGCGACGCGCGAAGTTTCGCGGCTTGCGTGCGTTTGCACACCCCGCAAGCACAAAATTGTACTGAACGCAATGTCAGGTAACACGTAGACCAATGTTGAATTACAGCTGTTTCAGGGACACTTGACTCACTGTCAACGCGGAATGGGAATCGCCAAACGCCCACCATCGCTCATCCGAAATATGAGGAAGGTCCCAAGAGCAGATACACGTGTTCCCTGCGCCGCAAATGCCGCATTCCATCGAACCAGGTTAGTCTGGTTTGGAGACAACCGAACCGAATGTCACTCGCTGCGCTTGTGCGACACATTGTGGTTACCACGTTTCATCATTGAACTATCTATCAAACTCATAACTATTTTTTACATCACTGTGTTTTGTGTGTCAACTTATATATTATGTATATAGTTGTTTAGACAAGGTAGGTGTTTCTACAAATGAATGAAACCTAATGTAGAGAGGACAACCCCCATTTTATACCTCTCTCTCTCTCCTGGTCATAACTATTTTCTCTCATACCTAGCTTAAACCTCTTCCAACATGGTATCAGAGAAGGATGATCATGCTGAGCCTCTTATTCACGCTTCCGCCGCGTACTCTCTCCTCTCCTCTCACTTTCGCGCCATCGTAGCGGCCTTCATGTGCTGCCGTCGCGGCCTCGACGTGCTGCCGTGGCAGCCACGTCCTACTGCCATGGCGGCCTCGACGCGTGGCGGCCTCGTCGAGCAGCTGTGGCAGCCTCGCCGCACTGCCACGGCAGCCTCGTCGTGCTGCCATGGCGTCGTGGTGCTGCCGTGGCGGCTTCGATGCGCCATCGCACGGAAGGCAGCGACCCGCGCACTGTTTCAGGCGCCAGCCAGCACGCCCGCACGCCCGTCAGCGCCGCGCCAGCCAGGGCGCCTCGCTAAAGACACGCCCCCTCCCCTGCGTCTACCCTCATCCCAGCCGCAGCTGATGGCTCCCTTCCCCGTCGTCGATGGGCCGTGCCATTCCGCTAGGTGCCGCGGGCTTCGCAGTCGTCGCCGCTATCGTCGAAGCCGCTGCAGGTGCAGCTGGCACCCGCCATCGCCGCCGCCGCTGTTGTCGTCGTAGCCGCCGCTGACGCCGTTGCTGACACCCGCCGCCGACGTCGCCATCTCGTACGCCGAGGGGCAGAAGCCACTTTCAACTTGTATATTTTATATATATAGCTATGTATGCTTGTTAGGTGTTCTACAATTGTGGATCCTACTGTAGAGGGTACAACACCCTTCTTGTATCTCTCTCTCTCTCTCCTCTCTCTCTCTCTCTCTCTCTCTCTCTCTCTCTCTCTCTCTCTCTCTCTCTCTCTCTCTCTCTCTCTCTCTCTCTCTCTCTCTCTCTCTCTTGTCTTGTCAACCCTCTTTTCTCTCGTCACTTTTTCTACCTAGCTAAAACCTCTCGCTATTCTCATGCCTACCTTAGCTTCTTAGCTTCTACTAACATGGTATCAGAGCAGGAAGATCTTGCTGAGCCTCCCATTTACGCTTCTGCCACGTACTCTCTCCTCTCCTTTCACTTTCGCGTTGCCGTGGTGCCCTCCATGTGCTGCCGTGGCGTCCTCGCCGTGTGTCGCGACCACCTTGTCGAGCAGCCGTGGTGGCCTCGCCGCGCTGCCGCGGCGACCTTGACGCGCTGTCGCGGCGGCCATGTCCTGCTGCCATGGCGGCCTCGACGCGTGGTGGCCTCGTCGAGCAGTCGTGGCGGCCTCACCGAGCTACCGCGGCGGCCTCGTTGTGTTGCCGTGGCATCGTCGTGCTGCCGCGGCAGCTTTGATGCGCCAGCGCAATGACGGTTGCGGCCAACGCGCTGGTTTGGGCGCCAGCCAGCACGCCCGCACACCAGCAAGTGCCGCGCCAATCACGGCGCCTCGCTGAAGACATGCCCCCTCCCCTGCGTCTCCCCTCATCCCAGCTGCAGCTAGTGGCTCCCTTCCCCGTCGTCCCCGGGTAGTGCCATGCCGTCAGGTGCCGCAGGCATCGCAGTCGCCACCGTCTTCGTCGAAGCAACCGCCACCGCTGTCGTCGTCGTAGCCGCCGCTGACGCCGTTGTTGCCTCCCACCGCCGATGTCGTCGTTTCACGCAAGGGCTATAAGTCGCAGCGACTGCAGGACATGGGGGTGCAAGGGCTTAGGGGTATTGCGTATGTGGTGTGCTAGTGCCTACCAAGCCTAGGGGGTGTGTCAACTTATATATTTTATATATATAGTGGTGTAGGCTTGTTAGGTGTTCTACAATTGTGGATCCTATTGTAGAGGGTACAACACCCTTCTTGTATCTCTCTCTTGTCTAGTCAACCCTCTTTTCTCTCGTCACTTTTCCTACCTAGCTAAAACCTCTCGCTATTCTCATGCCTACCTTAGCTCCTTCTAAGAGCCACAGCTACTGCAGGACATGGGGGTGCAAGGGCTTGGGGGTGTTGCGTATGTGGTGTGCTAGCGCCTCCCAAGCCTAGGGGGTGTGTCAACTTTATACACACACACACATATATATATATATATATGTAGTTGGATAGACTTGGTAGGTGTTTCTACAAATAATTGAATCGTACTGTAGAGAAGACAACCCCCTTCTTGTACCTCTCTCTCTCTCTCTCTCTCTCTCTCTCTCTCTCTCTCTCTCTCTCTCTCTCTCTCTCTCTCTCTCTCTCTCTCTCTCTCTCTCTCTCCTAGTCAAAACTCCTTTCTCTCGCTATTCTCTCCTACCTAGCTTAAACCTCTTCCAACATTGTGGTCCTATATATTTGGCTAAGAGATCACTTAGCTTCCACTACTGTCACTTTGCCACTCCAACAGGGTATGAAAGCCACATGGGAATCCTACAAGCTCCTTGATCCCTTTGCGGATCACTTCACCGATCATTTGCGACATCAACTCGAGAACCCACGTGAAGAACTCAACCTCGCGACAGCCATCGGATCGAGTAAATTGAGGGGCCGCGTCAACCATATCCATGCGATAATCATTAGCGCAGCCCAGAGTCGTCTGATCTATGAGAAAAGATGGCATCGGCACTTTCAACTTTGTGCCTTACCGTTACCGAACTGCACCACATTTGACTTCGCCCTTCGGTACTTGCACCACACTGTACCGCGCGAGTTGGGTCCTGCTTCGCTAGGTCCCAAGGCATATGCCGTGTAGGTTTAAGAATTGTAAAATGGTGCAGGAGACAAGTATAGAATATGAAAACGCAAGCACTTCAAGTAGAAAATAATACTGGAAGTACCACCAGTAACAGCCAGTATTAACAAGTTGTAACACCAGAATCAATGCTACAGCCTTGTGATACTTCAAGACTTGAGCACGGATCTTTGCTGGAATGGTAGACTAGTAAGACAGCGGAAGTCTTAGAACTTGTAAGTGTAGACCAGAATTTACTGAAGAACAAGTAAATCATAGAAGAGAGACATGCTACTTTTATATCTACGAGAAGTACCTGTTCGGTAATCGTTACTGAAAGGGGCGCGACTGTTCGCGTGACTGAAACGGCCTGCTGACGTAATCATCCAGACGAGCGCTATTTGCTGACGTCATTCTACAGATGCTAACTACAGTATAACTTGACAATATCTATCGGAACTACTTACAGAAATGCTTGAGCACAAATTTATCACAACACTCCCCTTCATTTCTGGAAGTCCGATAGTGTTACTTCTTGATAATTTCGCAGAGCTCGTTGCAGTACTGGAACTTTTGACATGTCAGCTTCTTGGTGAGAAAATCTGCAGCCATTTCATTGGTCGAGTAGTAGACCAATCGCATTCTCCCCTTCTCGTCTTCATCCTTAACGAAAAACTATCGTACCAAAATGTGTTTCGTCCTATTGGCGAAGCCGGGTTGGTGCGCAATTCTGATCGCACTTTGGTTGTCGCACTACACGGTGAACTGTGTACTTGTCGTCAATTTCGCTTCCTCCAGTAGCTCTTGTAGATTGAGACCTTCGCGAGTAGCTGTGCAAGCAGCTATAAACTTGGCTCTAGCAGATGATAGAGCTATGAGCACTTACTTTGTAGAATTCCAGGAGATAGTCCCGATAGGTTCGAGACGATAGATGAAGCCGGTCCGAGATCGACGATTAAAAGTATCTGCTGCAACATCAGCATCGACGTACCCGTTGAGGTATAGAGTTTTCATAGTGGTGACTTGAAAGGTAAGTCCGACTTCAGGTGTCGAAATGAAGTATTGTAGAGCGCGAAGAAGATCTAGCCGATTCTCCCTCTCAGGTCGACGCAAATATTGCGCGAGCTGGCTAGCGGCATAAGCGAGATCTGGACGACACGTTACGGCTACGAATAGAAGGCAACCCAACTGCTGCTGATAGAGCTATAGTTCAGTGTTGTCAAGTGGAGTTGTATCCGGCTTGTAGACCGTGTGTAGAGATCGGTAAGGTGTGGTGACTGTTGAAGGTGTGAGGTTACAACATGCGGCTAGTCTAGCGGCGTACTTGGAAGCGGTAAGATGATTAGCAGTTGGAGTGTGGTGAATGTTGAGGCCGAGAAACTGTGTGATGGTAGGTGTGATGGTGATCTGTAGGTGTTGTTAAAGTGTGTGTTCAAAGGTAGTAACGAGGGAATGGGTGGTGCTAATGTAGAGTAAGTCGTCAACATAAGCGACGAGTAGGATGTAGTCAAGTCCGTCGGTAAGTAAATACATTCCTTGGTCGTGCGGGAGTTGGCGAAACCCAGCAGTCAGTAACTGAGCATGTAGATACTGCTACCATAGGCGTGGAGCCTATTTAATGCTATAGAGTGACTTTTTGTGACGGCAAACGCTGGGAGGGTTAGTTTCGTAAGAATGCGGGTAGTCAACCAAAATTAAAGCGTCAACGGGTGCATAGAGAAATGCATTGGCGACATCGATTTGACAAAGTCTGATGTTTCGGCAGGTTGCAATGCAAAGTAGGATGCGGAAACTAGTATGTCTGCCGATAGGAGTGAAAGTTAGCTCGTAGTCGAGTCCAAAAGTCTGCTCGAATCCGCAGACAACCCATAGCGCCTTGAATTTTTCGAAGGAACCATCAGCGTTCGTCTTCACACAAAAAACCCATATGTCGGTAAGTACCTTACTCCCCTTGACTTCTTTTAGGGGGATCAAATCTCAGGTACCTCGCTTTTCCAGAGCCGCTAGTTCCCGGTCTATGCCTTCTCGCCATTTTTCCCAGTGTGGTCTGGTCAAAGCTTGGCGAACTGTTTACGGCTCCAAAATCTTACTGATGTTCGACTGTACTGCGATTGTGAGTCCTAAAACTTGTAACCCAGTTTCTATAAAACGAGGACGATTGGAGTTGACACCCGAGGAATTGCCTTCTGACCCCTGTTCCCCCCCAATGTTGCCAGGTGTCGCACGAACAGCCGGTTCGGAGACAACGGGCATGAGCTGCTGCTGGCGATCACGTTCGTAATCGAGAAGAACGTCCCTGACGTCTTAAGAGTCGGCTTCGCTGAGTGGAATAAATTCAACAGTTCCAGCTGACGTGGCTGGCACGAGGATGTCTGTGGCTGCTTTGAAAGACTCGGCAACTACTTCATCCTGTACATCTACTTCAGCTTCGTCGGTAGCGAAAGCGCGCGAGCCTTTGAACAGCCTAGCAGGGTTGGCAGCTGCTGCCTGGTGAGCACAAAAAACAGGTAAGGTGAGTCTTTCGTAGAAAAGACAATCACGTGCTGGTACGATTTGACTCGTGCGAAGATCCATAATTTTCCATGCGTAAAACTGCTTCCCGATGCCAAGATGAATGCCCCATTTAGCCCGTTCGTAACGTTTTCCGAGTGCTCCAGTTGGAGGTCGGTATTGATTGATGCAGCCAGAAACTCTTAAACGTTTTGTGTTGCCAACTGTCTTTGTCCACTGCAGATGCGGCGAAGAAAATTGGGGAAGAGACGTTGTGGAGAGCAAGTTGTGCAGAAGAACTGCATGGTCCACGGCATATGTCCAAAAGTGTGGTAGAAGGGTTGCTTGAGTCAGCAAAACTCTCATCTTCTCCTGTAACGTTCTGTTCATCCGCTCCGCTACCCCCATCTGTTGGTGTTGATGTGGCAGAGACCCTCGGCGTTTGATACCTAGGGTTTGAAGATAGTCAGTGAAAGTTGTGCTCGTATACTCTCTTGCACTATCATTTTGAAATTCTTGAAGCTTTTCTTTCGATTCTCTTTCAGCGACTGTGAGCCATACAACGAAAATAGAGTGAGCCATATGGCGAGCTGGAATGTTGACAGTCCAAACGTAGCGAGTACAAGCTTCGATAAAAGATATCATATAGAGCTCCCCCTTAGGCCCTGCTTTAGGTAAGTTCAGGATGTCGCTGTAGACTTCGTGCATAAGCGTTTAGCGAATCGATCCTGGAAAGTGACTTGGAAAAGGTTCATGAGGAAGATTAGCAGTGGTACACGTGGTGCAGACGGTCGGTCGGGATGACGGCTTCATCTCTGTTCCATCAGGTAAGAGTAAACTGTTCTTGTCAAGAACTGATGCTCGTATAGAATGACTAAGTTTCCCTGAGATGGATGACGTAAACGTTGATGCCATATGTCCTCTGTTGCTTTGTGTCCTATTGATCGCAGATAAAAATCCATGGTGTAAAAAGAAGAAATGATGAAAGGAGAAAGCGCTGGAGATTCTTCGAGTTGTCTAGGAACAAAGCGAGTAAGAGGTAACCTAATAGTTTTAACCTCCCCGTCGAGAATTTCTCCTGGTTCCAGAACTAATTCCCCTTCATCGATTTCTGCCGCAGGTTGACCGATGAGAACCCCTATTTCTGCTTCGTTGCTACTCTGCTGCTCAGCTGCTTCTGCTTCGCTGCTACTGCTGCTTGGCCCCCAAGGTACTTAAGGTTTGTTGGTGAGTTTTACTAAAGTAGTATAATAGTTTCGCCACGCTAACGTATCTTCTTCAGCTGTGTTTGATGTCCAGGTATCAAGAGCCGTGATAACAGCAGCGGTTGTTCGAGAGGTTGTTGGAACTGCAGTTGCACGGAGGTCCATGTCGACCCTTTGATAATCAGTTTCTTCAAGATGGTGCCAACGTCCAAGAGAAATCACTCTTTCGGAATCAACCGAAGTTCCTTGTGCTTCAAATTGAAGAACAGAGACGCCATATTGGGTGGCAGCTCTCCTGATGTAAGTATTTGTCTTGTTGTGATAAAGTTCTTGGTCCATAGTATCACAATTTCCTTGCGTCCGGATCTTATGTCGCAGGAGTTGAGCTGTTGAAAGAATATTGAAATCAATTCTAGCGATGATGAGGACGTTTATAACGTGTAAGGAAAAACCAGTGTCAATAGATTCCGGCATGACGCTGCCGATCGATCGTGCCATAATGGTTTGTCCGTTTGCCACTGTGACAGATATTGGACGTCAAAGAGGACACTGGTGAGTGATGAAAAGCGTCTCGGCAGAGCACATGTATTGACCACAACAACTGTCGAGATACCAAGTGTTGAGTCCTTCAATAATCTGAGCAAGATCAGCGTAAACGTGAGGTAAGACCACATTCTCAGGATGTCCAATTGAGCTCGTTTCTTCATCATCGTCAAAATCTGAATCAGTTGTATGAACTGTAGTAACACAGCTTCTGTTCTCCGGATGTGGCAGAAGTTGTTGTGGCGGATTCTGCTTCACGGGTTGCTTGGACTGCTGCGACGGCTGTTGCACTCCTCTTTTCATATCAGTTTGAAGCTTGTTGCAATATATTATTAT